CCCCAACCCCCTGATTGGCCCTGCTCTGTGAGTGACAGGGTGCGGTGCCCCAACCCCTGATTGGCCCTGCTCTGTGCGTGACAGGGGGTGGCGCCGCAACCTCCCCATCGACCCTGCCTTGAGTGTGACAGGGGGCGGTGCCCCAACCCCCCAAACGGCCCTACCCTGAGCGTGACTGGGGGTGGCATTGCAACCTCCCGATCCGCCCTGCTCTGTGCATGACGGGGCGGTGCCCCAACTCCCCAATCGGCCCTGCTCTGAGCCTGACCAGGGGCTGCACTTAGGGATTGGGCCTGCCCTCTGCCACCCGGGAGCAGGCCTAAGCCAGCAGGTCGTTATCTCCCGAGGGGTCCCAGACTGGGAGAGGGCACAGGCCGAGCTGGGGGACCCCCCTCCCCCCGCCCCCCGAGTGCACAAATTTTTGTGCACCGGGCCTCTAGTACAATTATAAAAATTGAGAGCCCTCAATATGTCAGATGATGTATAATATGTACATCTGAAACCGTCTCCAGGAGTTTATAATGGCACAGCCTTTTTTTTCCAGGAGTGTGGTAAGTCCTAATCAAGAGAAAATATTGGTATTTTTTAGTTTCATCATGACATCGTGAAAGTGGCTGAAGGCAGTCAAGAGTAGAGACTCAAACACAGTGTCCCTAGTTTAATGAAAGCACTAGTTTCAGACGTGTCGTTCTGGTTATTTTGGAGGCCTGGCCCTTCCCCTCCAAGGTGTTAGTTATACTGTAGCTGCAAAGAGGCAATACAGAGAGCGTTACAGGACAATACATAACTAAGCATAGAGTGCAGTACCATAAGAGATGTAGGAATTATCAGAGTAATTATTTTATAGCTCTTCTGTGAAGCTTATACTTAAAAAGGAGTGTTTTGATTTAATTTTGTAATTTGAGATGTCTAGGTAAACAAATTTTAACCTCACCTAATTTGATTGTACATCTCTTCATTTTTGTAGGGTTTGGGATAAAGTTGTAAGTGGATCCTGTAAGATCCTAGTTTTTGTAGCAGTGGAAATTTTATTAACCTTTAAACTAAAAGTAATGGCACTGAACAATTCAGAGAAGATAACAAAGTTTCTGGAAAACGTAAGTATGCTTCATTTTATTTCATTTTGAATCCAGAAAGGAAGTCCGTTTAGCAAGCCGGATTTTCCTATTCATTAAATTATTTCAGGGAAATAACACAGTATATTTTTACATTATAAGAAACATTTCCCCTTGAAACCGTGTAGCTTACAGTTGATCACTGGATTATAGTTTGCATCCTCTGTTTGGGGGACAATGGTCTGAGCAGTGAGACTGTCACTGTGACACTCTGCTCGTGGGGCTGCTGGGAGGCTTGTGAGGAAAGGGAGAGGTGAGACCTGTCACTTTAGAATGAGTCATCCTCGCTAATGAAAGAGGAGTCCTGGTGTTCGGGGGATTTTGTAAGCCCTTTCGTTTCTGTTACCATCGCTGTTGGAATCCCAGTTGGGTTTGTTAATGTGCTTACGTGTAAACTTAGTGCGTGTTGGGAAGGGTCTAAAGCAGTGGTTTCAACCTTCTGGCCCTTTAAATACAGTTCCTCATGTTGTGACCCAACCATAAAATTATTTTTGTTGCTATTTCATAACTGTAATGTTGCTACTGTTATGAATCGTAATGTAAATATCTGATATGCAGGATGGTCTTAGGCGACCCCTGTGAAAGAGTCGTTCGACCACCAAAGGGGTCACGACCCACAGGTTGAGAACAGCTGGAAAGGAATCAGCTTTTCCCTCTGTGTATCTCAGAATACCTTTAACCAGGCAAGAGGCAGAAGTGAGGAGGCTTATGCCTGGAGGAATTTCACTGGATCCAAAATCTGTTCTTTTATTTTTATCAGTCAGTATTACCATTTGAACACTGATCCGATAAATGATAAGTACCACATGCATATGTGTTGAATAAATTACTCACATTATAATAATTAATGGCTAATAGTGCCAGGGCTGTGGCAAGTGTTTTTCATGGATTATTTTATGTAATCCTGTAACAGCCCTATGGAGTGGGCCTACCATCTCCCCCATTTTAGAGATAGGATCTGAACCCACGTAGCTTAGGTAACCTGGCCAGGTGCACACGGTTCGGTGGGCAGTGCAGGATTTGAGCCAGGCCGTCTGAGTTCCTTAGCATGTCCTCAGGTGGCCTGTGAAGCAGAGATCCCATCAGCAGCCTTTTATGCGATCACTTTCTGGAAACCAGTGAGAACTCCTGTGGCAGTAAGGTTTATGCCCAATGAGAGAGGCAGATGAAGTTATAAGCACTGAAACCTCACGGAAACTGGTTTGCTTGTTCACAGATTCCCCAGGACAGCTCAGATGCAATTGTGAGCAAGGCCATCGACTTGTGGCACAAACACTGTGGGACCCCAGTACATTCAGCCTGAATGCCGTGGACAGCCCGCCGGGCCTGCACTAAGTGTTCTTTGTGGGATGGTCTAAGCCGATTGAAACAGGATTCTTGCTTTGTGCTCAAAGTGTAATTGCTTTTCCAGTAAAATTATATAATTAAGATGCCTGGGGTGCTGTGCTGTGGAGCAGCATCTTTTGGTTACACAGATGTACGAAGTTCCACTCTGAATACAATTTAGAGGTGGTTGGAGTTTCTAAAGCAGTTCAGTGGAGGCGGTGGTGGGGGAATGGCATGGGGGTTAGGTGCTTTAACAAGCAGTGCATGACCACACCCTGCCCTGCTTCTCTCTAATTAGCACCAAGCCAGTGACTTGCTAAGGTCTATTTCTGGAATAAAGAATAACTTCCTTTTGTTCACAACTCTGAGTCGGCTTTTGTTGATGTAGAACTTGTTTAAATCTAAGCTGACTGCTTTCTGAGGTTTCATTTTGCTAAGTAGGTTTAAACAAAGGACTTGCATTTTTTTTTCTCTTTGTCCCATTTGTAATGAAACAGATATTGAACAAAATATGTCTAAATTTACCTCCCAGGAGAGAGAATACTTGTTGATATTTTGTTGGCCTCATGCTTTTCCCTGGTGGGTCATTAAGTGTTGGGTGGCCTTCTGGGAGCACTGTCACCCAGAATAGGAGTGGGGGAAACAGCAGGTTCGGGTTAACAGCTGGTGACCCAGGCCCTGTGGTGCCACATAATGGTAGCTGCTCACTGGACAGTGGCAGGCTCTGGGACTGTGTTTAAGACCCATTCAGCTATCAGACATGCAGGAGCCTGAGTGGGGAGCTGGATTCCTCACCCCACCCCACCCAAAAGAGGAGGGAGAACATGCACTTATGGAGTTACACATCTGAGCAGTCAGTCCTCTTAAATGTGTGAAATAACTGACAAAAATGAGTTCATAGCAGCCTGAGTTGTTAACCAGTGTGTCCTCCTGAATAGTAGCATATCTAAGAGTATTTAAGGTGGTTTTCTTTTAACTTTCATCTGAGGATATGTTTTTATTGTGAGAGAGAGAGAGAGAGAGAGAGAGAAACATTGATTGGTTGCCTCCCGTACATACTCCCACCAGGGATCAAACCTGAAACCCGTGTATGTACCCTGACTGGGAATCGAACCCATGACTTTCGGTGTATAGGATGATGCTCCAATCAACTTAGCCACCTGGCCAGGGCCTAAGAGTATTTAAGTTTTTAAACCAACAATAAAGAAATACACTCAGATCGGGGGACATCTGTAATACTATCAATAATAAAATTAAATTAAAAAAAGAAATATGCCACCTTAGATATAACATAGATACAATATAGAGCTTACTTACATTGTTATTCCTACACTAGGGGCCCAGTGCATGAATTCATACACCTTGAACTGTGGGCCATGAAGCTGCGGTGGGCACAAGGGCGGGTCTTGGCCCATCCTCCGCCCCCCCGCCTGGCCCCTCCTGCCGTGTCCCCCTGTCCCCCTGTCTGCCGGCAGCCCTGCTCCTGCTGCTGCCGCTCCCATGCGCTGACAGCGCTGGCCCCACTCGCACCTGCTGACGGTGCGGAGTGATTGGGGCCGGTGCCAGCAGCGGGTTCGAGAGGCGGCTGCTGGGGC